TGTGTTGTTTTAGGATGCAGCTACTACAACTTTAACCCTTACTCTTGGCCTAGTTTCTCTGGCCATTTGGAATTCTCTTTTACCTGGTATTTTGAATACTGACTTTTCTTATTTGAGATCGAACTTAAAAATCTGGCTATCTTGACCTTTTAACCACCAGTTGATGTATCTGACTCTTGTTGCTGTTCTGCCCCAAAACATAACGAAAAATGTTGGATGGAGCCAATAGTGAGAAAGTTTCTATCCTTGGTAATCGTCTGGAAGTTATCTCAATGGAACCCTGGGCTCTTCTGCAAGCAAATTATATTCTGAAATTCCCTAGATGACAAATTTATTACTAACGTATTTCCAAAGACTACCTCAGTGGATGACCTTTGACTTCGACTCCCTGTTCTCGATTCTTTTATACCAAATCATTGATACTTTTCAGTACAATGTATGACCCATCACAACACTTAAATAGCTTTGAAGTTTGTCCTTTTTTTCACAATGGGAATGAAATGTTCAACTATACCATGCCACCTTGTTGGTATCCACTCTTATCAGCGTTAACATCAAAGCAATTTTTCATTTTATAACAAGCTTCCTGGGTAAAGTCATGTATGACAACTTCATTTTTCAGATCCACGAAAACTCTTCCAACCATCAGTCCCTCAGAACATGCCAGAATGTTTGGTTCTTCTATGTCCAAATCACTTTGATGTAGATCTATTCCTAATAAATCTTGGTATGAGTATTTCAATTCTTGGTGATACAATAACCACTCTCCCTATTGTCACTAAAAGTTCAACCTCTGGTGTAGCAATTGCCATGTAGTGTACAGAGATTTCCTGGTCATAGACTGTGAAGCTAGCCTAAGCTTTCTTCCATGTCTTCACATGAAGCCAATTCCCAATATGCACCTTTCCTCGTTGTCAGTTACAAACACATCATGAAATGTAGAGAAGTGTCCTACACCAAAGATAAGCTCTAACTCTTTTGTTGAAACTTTATGTCCACCTGCTATTTGCATCAATCCCTCTTCTTTCTTCATCTCTGGAGGCAATTTCTCAACTTTCATTATCAAATCATGTTGAACCATTGTAGCTGTAGAAGCTGTGTCAATCAACGTACTGCAAGGTTTTCCTTAAATAAACTCATGGACTCGTTGTCGATTTTCTCTAATAATGAACTTCTAATTTAATTTGGGGCGAATGGAGTATTCTTTATTGAAGTTCGCCTCATAAACCCAGCTAATGCATCGTTGTTTTTATATATTGTTGCGTCATCGAGTCACATGACTACTGTGACGCAACGTTTCTAGAACTATCATGTACTTTGGCGAATGTTCTAGTTCTTACCAGATATAGGGTAGGCTGGTATATAAAAGAGGGGAATGTAATGTGTGTGTAGATAGTGTGTAATTGATCTGCAGTCAGAAGTATTATTG